AAAACAGGGACGTACGTGATTTGCCAACTAAACATGCTGCTTTTGGTTACATTTATACCCACATACAAGGGTGACAAAGCATTTGCACGGATGCAAGCTGAATCGTAAACGAAGGAAATTAGAAACTATGAATAGGGTAGCGAAGGCAAGACATATTGCTTTCTGCAGACAAGGTTTAATAATGAAATTTTAATATTTTAGGTTAGGCTTTTGCTTCAAGTTAAGGATTTTTTTAATAGAATCGGATGCAAACGATCTGGCGGATCACCTGATGTGAAATGATTAGCGCTGTACATGAACACCTGTCTCCAGAACACCAGAGAAGTCACAGACACGTTTTTGGCTTTTTCAAAAGGAGTACGCACGTTTCTTGAAGAATTGAAGATCATATCGAGTAGTAAGAATTAACATCCCTTAGTATTTTTATTTCCCAGAAGAATTGGTAAGGATATTTCATTACCATCTACACATTTTAAGAGGTTTTAAGCAGTTTAAAATTATGAGAACTGGTGCTTATATTGACAATAAGCTTTTTTTAGTAAGGATAAACGAGTAAAAAATGAAGACCCAAATTCCAAATTTCAAGCCTGGTAGATAAATAAGGGAAAGGAAAAGAAATTTAAAACAGTGACAAAGACCACAATAAAAATATGAAAGTGAAGAATCACTAAGTTCACCACTAAGAAGTACCACGTAAAAGTGTTATATTACTAGAGAGTAAGTAGAACTCGCCCCCCACTTTAATCTAGGGATGGAGGAACAAAGCACTTCGACCACTTACCTTCTAGAGTAATTTGTAAAAGTCATCTTGAACTAAAGTTTCTCAGCTCTTTGATAAAGCTGAAGTGTTTCTGTGACCCTAGTGCAATCTAAGCTTATCATTATTGAAGGTGGTCATGTCATCACCAACTTCAATAATGGCTTAAAATTGTAAAATCAAAATTATGACAAAAATCTATTTTTGAAAGCTCACAGTCTAGTCTAGTTTGCTTACTTAACTGTTCATGGACTTTTTGGTATATAATTTAGGGAAGAGAAAGAGAGTACAGTTCCCTAAGTTTGGAAAAGAAAAATTCTCCAACGATGACAATTCCTGATCGGCTTGTGGTAAGCTAGTTCAATCGTGTATTAACTTTACTCACATGATGTACATAGGCTTTGTAACATCAATATGATAACTTTGATTGTCGATCTTTTACAACAACAAATAAGAACAAATGATTATTGCTTTGTTCCTTACGACAAAGTTTTAGCCATAAAACGAGACTTGGACGAAGTCAAAGCATTTAAATCAAAAAATCACACTCACCTTTTTGTAGAGTCTAATTTTAATTATCCGTCAATAAAGAGTATTGTAACAAACTAGACATTCGCATGAATAAGAAAATGCAAGAAACTTTCATCATTACTGTTTAGAAAATTAAACTTAAAATCATTTGTTTATTGACTTAACTTTCGATAAGTCATTATTTAAACAAGTCGTCAAGGTTACAAGCACAACAATATACCGCAGGCTGGCTTTTAGCAGAATGAGGTCCTACCCAGAACGGGAGAAGCGATTTGACGAATTTCCTTCTGGATATAAAACTACCACATAACACAAGAGATAGTAACAAATACTTAATATTTACATCCAACACAAAAGACGTCCACGGATAAAGTTTAAGCTATTTTCAACTTTTAAAGCTAGAAATGGGACCGACAAAGAAAATATTACTTTTCCTTCCAAAGGACTTCCTTACTAAGTTATCCAGTCGGTACCATTGAACGATCGACTACAAATACGACAAATGCGGCAAACGCGGCGTCTCCGTTTCTACATGAATGGGTATCTTCTATGATTTACCGAAAAAAAATCTTTGTTTGATGGTTGGATGGTCTAATGCCCACGAGTTTGTGAACGTGATATAAATATAGGTCTATCGATACTTAATTTTATTTCTTCATTTTGGTATTGACACAAGTGTATCGTCAACCTACAAAAAAAAACTATATCATCTTCATTATCATTAGCCCATTTCCGTTCTCTGCTGCTGGACATGTCATCTCCAATTGCACGTTAGAGCTCAATATTTAGCTTTTCTAACTGAGTGGAGACCGCATTTTGACAAACATCACAAAGTGTGGGAGAGCCATGCTTCGGCACGAATGGGTAGGCTCGACCGGAGTGATACCACGGCCTCACAGAAAACCGGCGTGAAATAACCACTGCGTTGTGTTTCGCCGTGTGAGAGAGGTTACCGGAGGCCCAATCCTTCCCCTTCCCCAATCCCTCCTCAATCCCTAAATCTCCAAATCCCTAATCCCTAAAAGGTCGGCAACGCGCTCGTAACTCTTCCGTTGCGAGTGTCCACGGGCGGCGCTGATTGCTTACCATCAGGTAATCCGTCAGCTCGTTTGCCAACCTATTACATAAAAAAAAAAAAACTTAGTGTAGAGCGCCTTGCCTTCCAGCTACGTGGATGGACGATGTCCGCTAAGTGGCTAGCGGTATAATTGTGTTTCAGTTTTCTCAGTAGCACTTTTAACTGTGTGGATAAATGGATTCCTGACTTTATACATGACAAACTACAGAAAAAAAACACCTAGATATAACCAATTTAAATTAAACATGCATTTCTCTTTATCTCTTCAAGGGAAAACAGACTTTATAAATCCAATATTTTATATAAGTACATCAAAAAATGTATTTCCGTATCTAGCCTCGAGGGATCGGGATTGTGATGTTATGATACAATATCGAAAACCAGAATAAGATTGAGAAAATAAGCCTAAATATAAGCTTGTCAGTACAGGCGTGGGAAGATTACTAGCTTGTTCTGTAAGAATTTTAAGAAAATCTTTTGATATAAAGGTCAAATGATGACTGATATTATAATGAAAGGCCTTGTTCATATTATTACTAAGGTCTATTACGCCAAAACCGTTGGAAACAAACGCAAACAATATATCAATTAAATTTCCACGTAACAAATGAAATCTAAATGTCATTGTTTATTCTTATGAATTCCAGAAAAATCTTGCTTGTCAATTAAAGCGAGGATTTCGCTTCAGCGTATTTCCAATAGCTCAGAGTATTGGAAAAGAGTTTGTTCCTTCGTGTTCTCAAATGCGTTTCCCTCGTTTTATAATCATTTTTTAATCATCCAATGATTTATTATAACCTAGATGAGCCAAGAGGGAGTTTCAGACTCTTTCTGACTAGTAACCACTCCGTTATTTATCTTGTGGAAAACCAGGCCATGGTATGCCATTGTTCCTGTCCCCCATTGGGGATGTTATAGGTACTTGACTTCGCTCACTTTTTTAAGTGATCTTTCATTCAGTTTATTAAGTTCTGATAAATTTATAGTACTGCAGTACTATGAACGCGGCCTTAGAAATTTTCCAAGTGGGTCACGGTTTGTTAAAGATTACATTTAACAAGTAGAATACGAAACATTTGTATATTGGCTTTTGTCTAGAAGTGTTCTATTTTAAGACTTGAGAATTAAGATGAAATTATTGTAACATTTTTGAAAGGTCAGAAAAGACTTGAATTATTAAATGTACCATAAAGTTTTAAAGGTTTTATAGCTTTTTATTATCTTATATTATATATTATATCTATACTAATATTGTAAGGCTGGAAAATTTGTTTTTTTTGAACGAGCTAATTTCCACATCTACTGGTTGGAATTGAATGATTTTTTGTATTTGTTAGTACATTTATCGAGACAGGCTTTAGATTTGTAGGACAGAAGATAGTTTTCTTTCATTCTTACAAAACGTACGATACATTAGCGTTATCTTAAAAAAAGTGTTTCAAATATTATGTTCCTAAAACAAAAAACAAAATCACTTTCTCTGTCCCAATTTTCCTATGTATGCTTAAAACTTTAAAACTACGTTTAAAACTACTAGAGATTGAAGAGGAAGGTTTATATGGTCGCTAGGTAATAAATAAGCCCAAAAAGTAAGAAATAAAATTTGCGTCATCGTTAAAATTCAACATTCGATAGTACTTTTAAATAATACATGCAAACGCCTGCCAATAATTAAACATGAAATTAATGCAATGTCATTAATTTCAAAAAAAAGCCTTGCTTTTTTTGTGTGATTAACAACATTACTCTACGCACCCTATAAGGGAAAGAAGGGGAAGTAATTGTAAAATACATTTAACTCGATTATTTTACTCACGATGTGGCATGACAAAAGAAAATAATAGAAAGAATTATATACAGGGCGTTTATCATACGTTTTATGTGTAGTCAAGATCATTTTAAAGTGAAGTTTTATTATATATAAGTAATGTTTTCTCCTACTGATTGACACAAATATTGTATAAATTAATTTCGATAATAACGTACACATACTTAATTATAAAACTGTAACTATTTTTTTTTTCCTTCGATTCGAGATGATTCATGATAGCACAAGTTTAAACCTTAGTGGTTTTTTGGTTGCTATTTAACGTAAATAATCTTGTAATATTTGTAAGTATGATAAATAAATAAATAAAACAAAAAAAAAAATGTACAGAAATCACACCATGTTAATATATAAATGCCGCCATACTCAGAGTCTGACTTAATGCTTACTTTTTTATGATACGCCACATACCGACGATACGCAAACATGACGGATTACCTCATTGTAAACAATTGCGGTAATACTAAATAAAAAAAAAATATTATAAGAAAAAACAGTAATATTGTCCAAGAAGCTTTGAATATGAGAACAGGCAGATTACAGGTACAGATTTTGGCTATAGCAGAATTTCAGTAACAGCAGAAAAATATCTTCGTCATCATATTTTTTTTATCAATATATTTATGGTTATAAAGCTATTAGTAGAGTGTTTTCGTATAACAACATCAAGCAGATCTTCGAAAAGTATCATTGTATTACATATACTAAGGAACATTGTTGCTTATCAAGTTTCTAATGAAACCCAAAAGACAATCTAGTATACTCAAATCACCCTGTCAAGGAAAAAGAAACCTTGCATAACTTACCTTGCACAGGCGTGTAGATATTCATATACAAGCAGTCTTCACTCTGATTCTTAAGTCGAGGAAGTAATCTTCTTAAGTACTCCAGTCTTCCTTTTGGCATCCTCTCCAAGGCCAACGTTTCATTGGAGATGTCTGGCAGTCTTTGAGGACAGACTGGACCCATTTGGTCCACTGTTTTAACGTCGTCCCATGGGGCTGGCGCTCGGGTTGGCGCAAACCTGCAGACAAATGTTGGATCAAATATTTGTTTTCTCAAAGTTTATTATCAAAGACAACCATTTTCATTGTGGTATTTTTACTCTCGTGTTTTTGACTTTACTTTTAAATCGCTTTTACAAATTAAAAATGGAAAATTTTGATCGTACCTCCTTTTTTAAGTAAGCATATCATATTTTTTGCTTATAAATATTAAATAATAAATTAGTAGCATTATTTTCGAAGGGACAAAAGCGTTAAATTATCGTAAATATGAAAAGTTTTGAGTTAATTATGTACATAAATTAATAGGCAACGATGCTGTACTCATAATAACCCAATTCATAAAATTATATTGTCCCAAAAGTTTTATTATATTATAAAGGAAACTGCTTATTGGCATACTACATTATAAATTTACAAAACTAATTTGTTTGGAATTGACAATTTACTATTTACGCCAATATTTAAAATAAATTATATTTACTGATACTCTATTTTAAAAGTAATATCATTCATAAGGTAGGTAAAATAAGTAAAATATGTATAAATAAGAGTCTATATTGTTTCTCGGGTTGCCCAATATGCTATTTTGGAAATAGTTTTGAAAAACAGTAAGTGTAAAGTTGAAGACACAGTCAAATTATTAGTTTTAACAAGACTTAGATTTATTTAAAAAAAAACCACTCCTAGAGAAAGAATGGGATTCTTTTAGTCAGAGTCAGACACACCCTCGTGCCCTGGAGGGCTAGAGGGGTCATTCCCCTTTTCCCTATATCTTTGTACCAAATCACTACACAGTAAAAAACAAAATCACTTCCTCTGTCCCTATATTCCTATGTATGTGTAAAACTTTAAAACTACGTTTAAAACTACTAGAGATTAAAGAGGAAGGTTTATATGCAAAATAACATCAAATTGTGCAAAAAGTATTATTAAGTAGCATTGCACCGCATTGGTAGGTAATAAATGAGCCCAAAAAGTAAGAAATAAAATTGGCGTCATCGTTAAAATTCAACATTCGATAGTACTTTTATATAATACATGCAAACGCCTGCCAATAATTAAAGATGAAATTAATGCAATGTCATTAAAATGATAATATCTCTCACTTCCGATCGTATGTAAATAAATAATTGACGCGATACTGAATATCCAATCATTGGGACAAAAGTTCCAATTTTATAGGTGTGAATTAAATATTTTTTTTAATGATGATGATGTCACTGTATAATATCTCTTTAGTGAGAATGATCGAATATCTTCCATTCCTTTCCCACCATCGTTGAGGCGACGAAAGATGACCTCCGGTCACCGTAAACGCGGGTCGGCGAGTAAGGGCAGCTCGCCGCCCGACACGCCGAGGCCCAGTTTCAAGGCAGAAGAAGGTACGGGGCGACTTTTTGTTAGTAAGTCTATTAACAAATGAATGATTATGATTTAAGAGTTTTACAATTTATCGCCTCAACGATTTTTTTTTGTGAGGGGAAAATCATCAAATTACTTCTCTCGTCCAGGGTCGGGCGGGAGGGAGTGTCAGACTCTTACTGACTAAAAACCCCCCTGTTCCTTCTCCTGCTCTGGGCTGAGGTCGCGGTGCCTCATTGCGCTTACCCCGCAACCCCGGCTGAACCCGGGGCCCCGTCTGTGGTGGTCTATTGGCTCTTTGAGGCGCGCGCGGAACGCTACGCGCCGTACGCTGGCGCGTACCGCAGGCCCGAGCGTACGGCGCGTAGTACCGCCCATGGTCACCCGCCGCGCATTACCGACTTTTTGGGGATTAGGGATTTAAAGATTTAGTTATTAAGGAAGGGGTATGATTGGGCCTCCGGCTTTGCTATAAATAGAGAAGATGGCTGCCAAAATATATGTATAATTTTTAGAAGAAGAATTACTGCGTACAAACAATATGACTTTTATTCAGCTAACGATAATCTTTTAAACAAAAAAGTAAAGCACTCACAAACCATGAATGTTGGATTTATTTTTAATGGAACCGTTTATTTACATAGAAAAGTTTATTTACAATGAAAGCAAGAAGGCAATACAGTGCACTTTCATGTCAAGGATCCAGTTACTGGAACGTTTCTGATATTATATGTAGAATTTAGTAAAGTCTTACCTAATTTGGAAGTTGAATTAGCAAAAATATATTTTTTGTGGCAAACTATTAAATGGATAAGCTGAAGGTAAGCAATACAACAATGTCATAGGAGTTCCGAGTGCATTGCAGGACTTTCGATCGAGGATAAGAAAGTTTAGGGATTGAGGGGTTGATGAGGAATAGCAGGGGGGAATTTGGTATCAGATAGCCTAACTCACATACTCTTACCTGGACACGAACATACACAGTCATATACCCTAATACCGTGTTTCTCTGAATTCCACTGAAATACTGAACCATCAGCTACGTTTATGCTAAGAGTAAGACTGGGTCATACAAATATTCCTTCTAATCCGTATTTGTTCAATACAGTGAAATCACAGAGACCTAAAACACCATTAATTATGTTTGTACCCTGTATAATAATAACGGCTATACTAACAAATACCATCACAAAACAAAAAACCACAGAACGTTTTTGTTGAAAAAGTTATTAAAAATTCCCAACACAGTCTCACTTCGTTAATGAGTTTTCTGTTTTGACTTTGTCTCCGAAAGCTGCAACTGAAGGAACTGTTTCCTCAAATTAATTTCCACTAATTGGACGTTTGCAGTGTAATGTGAAATAACTGTGATGTATTTAAATTCTGTTTTAAAGGAGCCGTAGAGTGTTGTAATTAATGTTAGATATATTATACATACTGGAATTATGTATTTAGTTACCTATATGTGTAGGTCCTTTGAGACAAATAATTTTGTACTATTAATACACTATTTACTACTATTAAAGAATGTTATTTTACATAATAATACATGCCTAAAAAGAGCTAAAGTCAATAGAAGTGTCTTATTGTTACAGTTATTACAGTTCCAACGTGTCGCAAGTAATTTAACCCATTGAACGTATTGAACGGACAATGGTGCATTTCTAAAATTTCCTCTTCTATCACTCTATCTATTAATAAAGCGCATCAAAATCCGTTGCGTAGTTTTAAAGATTTAAGGTACATACATAGGGATATAGAGACAGGGAAATCGACTATGTTTTATACAATGTAGTGACTAGTATCTATCGGGGTAGTAGCCTAATATGTAATAGTCCAGGCTATAATAATCTTTATCTGCGTGCCAAACATACAGATTCTGAACAGTCAGTAAGTTGTACAAAAACCGCCAACCAAAAATTTGTAGGATTAGCACCTGATGGAGGAGAAAAAGATCAACATGATCTCCTTACTGAATTGGCAAGCAAATTTTATACGGACAGAATCAAATTCGCAAGCTAAAGTTAGTAGAACCTAGTAGCTGAAATAATGTCAAATGATGTTGTTAATTCATCTATATTTTGTCAGAACATTCATACAGCTCATTAATAAATATTTCATATTTTCATATTTAAGTAAAGTTTGGTATGTTAATGCTCATATTAAAATTTGCTTTGATAGTAATTTGAAACGCCTTAGGGCTCTGGTATCATAAAAACTGGGCTTTATAATCAGAGAAATATAAGGGTAGACGGCTTTGGTGTTAGGATCTTTATTTGCTAATCTATTTTTAATGAAGTGAATTTGAGCCGTAATGCTTGTGGTTAATTTATTGGTGTCCATTTTGAATGGTGTATTTTTGAGTATTATAAAAAGAAAATAACTGTTAAAAGTATTTCACATTGCGCAAAAATTCTAAATGCTGACCACTGGTTATCAAAATGTTTTGATTTCGAAATGAGAACATCCGAATGAATTAACTAACCTTAACTATTGATAACAATAACCTTTAACTATTGATAACAATAAAAATAATTTTGTATATTACATTGAAAAATTCATTATCAATGCCAATAGGGAGAGTAACCAAAAGGCTGGCTCTTTTACATTCTTTGATTATTGAAAAACTAAACGAGTAGTCCAACTCGTACTCCGGTACTTACAGTTTTATGGAACAAGATCAAATATGTACATTTTACAGTTTTGCCTCTGACAGTCACTTTGTCTAAACTACTGTAAAGTCAGAAACACAGAGAATACATTATAAACTTATGTGATACTAGACCGCGAAATTGCAATAACAGTTCTGTACGACTTGTGATGATTACAAAGCGACGTTGTTACTTCAACTATTCTAACGACAGAAATAGTATCCTAAACTTGTCTCGTTTCCACTTAAGTACCACAGTTCCAAACGTCTCCGCAAATAAATTTGTTCTAAGAAAGCGATCCGTATATTCGACATATCCACTTTAGCAACACGTCCGAGGTTAGCCAAGCGTTTAATAAGATGAAGCTGACCGACCATAAAATGGAAGACATACCTGTTTGACCCCGTTGGTGGTGTTGCATAGGGTACGCCAAGATACGCTTCGACTGGTTTCAAGTACTTGTGTTGATCCATCGGCAATATTACTCCTTGAAGCTTCCCGTACCGAGTCCCAATCACCCTCGTCCTTAGCATAGAATTCCTGCCACCGAATCCGTTGCAATCTGAGTTTTGTGTCATCAACAAAACGAGTAGTATCACTATCTTCAGTTTCTCTTGCAAACCGAATTCCAAGGTCAACCTTCGTTTTTGTTCGTTTATCTTCCGAAATTGTGTCTTTATTATTCTTGAAACTATATTTATGTTTACCATATACTGTTTTATTGAATTGCAAATGTGTAATGGCAGTTTGTGGGTGTCCATTTTCTGTGAATATCACCTGTGTACACCCATTTCTTTACTACGTATTCGTTTTATTTTCTTGTAAATTCATTTGTTTTGTTGTTATGTCATTTTTGGTCAGAGCTTGTTTTCTTGGCACTGCATTATCGCGTTCATATTAATATCTGAAACAAGAGAGAATATTATTAGAATCGAAGGAATTTTAGTAAACAATTTCCTTTTGGATCTTTTTATAAATTTCCAAACAAACAACAATGTTTTCATTATCAGAAATTCAATTAAGATCTATAATAATTAAAACAGATTTAGCGACGCTTCTGAATAAACCGACATTCTCATTATCGGGCGTAACGAATTTGAAAGATCAAAATTAAAGGTAAATATTTTCTTTGCAAAGCGATTGCCTTGAATATTGATTGGAGCTTTCCATTGTTCTTCAATAGAAGCAGCCACAGAAATATTATGTACGATAAAACCCATTGTTAGAATAACCTCATTGTGAACTAAAGCACTTTGAATTAAATATAGAATTTAATATGGCCTGTAACCGAGCCTAGGTATGACTAATGGTATGTTGCACACTTTATTCATAATTTATGACCTAACATACCTATTTGTATAATAGTAAAACATGTAACTCCATTCATTCATCAAAATGGGAGAGTATGAAAATTCACTTTACTAAGATCTGTGTTTAATCTCAATTATTTCCATGTCATTTCATTATTATAAGGCTGAAATTATTGCCAAACAACTAAGAACATTCTGTTATCTTTTCTGTTGCTTATGATCTGAAATTTTCTCTCTACGATTTCTGTCCTGTCTGCTTAACGTACGGTAACGGTACCATGGTGAACCTTTTCTAAAGTGTTAAAAATACTCTTTAACACGAATAAATAAAATCTTGATTAAACAACACTAGCACTATGTTTCACACTTTCACCGCATCACTCAATGACAAAGCATATACCTCTGGTATTGCGAGTTTCCAAACCCTTTGCAAATCATTAAGCAAACAGTTTGTTAAAAAAATACTGTTTCTTTTGTTTTATTTGTATTCTCGCTTACGTACGTAGATGAGGTCTATTTTAGTACAAAAATAGACACTCACTACTTATTGATTTTGTTCAAAAATAACACAATGGGGATGATGTAATTTTTTTAAATGTAGTCGTGTAGTATAAAGTTATTTAAAATGTTAGACAAGTATTTTTTTTTTGTTACGTAAGCAAATAATTTTGACTAAACATTGATTTGAAATGTTGTATGACGTCATGATTTAAGTAGTAAATTTTATACTCAGCGATATTTTTCATTAGGTACTGTTTTAGAAAAATACGTGTCTAATATTATCATTTTTAAATAGAGTCTTAATGTTAATACACTATAATTGTCAACCATATTACACTTTTTGTGCACAAGGTATGAAGCCAAAATGGCTTATAAGCTGTTTACTTTTTCACGTGTATTTTTTATCCGCTTTTTTCTACAAACTTTTCTGTGTCGAACGAGTAACGCCAAGAAAACTCAGCAGCAAAACGACAAACAACTTAAGTACTAAAATGGGCGCCCCCTAACAATACAAAAGACTTGGCAAAAATTCTTGACATATTTTCTTAAATCTTAATAGCACATAACTTGATTATTCTTACTGAAGTATTCAGACTTGAAGGCCATTTCTTAACGAAGTTCTATTTTTTCTAGCCAAAGAAAAATATTTTTATTGGCTAAACTTAGTTTCATTTAATTTCATTTGTATTCATTAGTCTTTTTTTACTTTTTTCATGTTTTGCTCCTTTAATTCTTTGATGTCTGCTGAGAATTTTCTAGAATAAGCACAGCTGTGATAACGTTTTGAGTGATTCTATTCACGTGTTTGAACTAAGGTTTAATTTTAGTATATTTTCTGCTATTTTATGTTAAAAGAAAAGATGAAAATAACATTTTATTTTCTTCCATTCGTATCGTACCGTAACTTGAAGGCTTT